TAATGAAAAAAAAAATAGTGACACCCCTGCAAAACTGTGTTAAAAACTGAAATAGATCTTTCAAGCCCTGTGTTATGAAAACAGCTGAGATATACATGTTCCATATTCATCAAAATAAGCAATGTTGTTGGCTGTCATATGAAGATAGCTATAGGGAGTAGTTCATGTGAGTTTGCATCTTTTATGATGGGAGAAGCATTAGCAAAATCACTGTCCAGGTAGATTAGTAAATTCTTACGCTCAGGGTTAGACTAGATTAGACAGAATCAAGGTTATACATCTTGGTCTCGAGCAAGTCTTTCTGGACCAAGAGCTTAGAGAGCCATGATAAGCTTTTGTCTGCATTCCTAGGAGTTTACTGCGTTGGTATGCATCTGTTCAGCTATTCCCTTTCAATATTTGTGCTAGGGGAGGACAAACCACCAGCAAGTTCAAACAATGCATGACTGTCTGGGAACCTCCTGCCTACCCTACTGCCACTGGAGTTTGGAGCGAGTTCAAAGAAAGATGCTGGGACCTACGCTGCCAGCAGAAGCTTTGCCTACAGACAGACGTCAGCACTGCTAGGAAAGGAAAGGAAGGAAATAACCCGTCCCAAACCACCCGTCGCTTAAACATTATGAACCTGAAATTACCAGCCACAACTAGAGAAGCATCTTCTTGTGGCAGTCACTACAACATCCACACTGCTGATGCTGCCATCTCTGTTCTGGTCACTGTCCTTTTCCCAGCAGACCACTTCTCATGTACAACCATCAGCAAACCAAACATTGCCAGTTTCAAGGCCAGAGATGAATATGAATCATGTTTTATTCCCTAACACTGGGAACCGAGATCTATGCCCTGTAGTTTGAACTTACTCACTGGCATGATGGCAAAGAAAAACAAGTGAGTGTGCTAGTTTGCTGTACATGAGATGCAGATGCACTTGTTTTGCCCAAATTAAAGGTAGGTTAACTCCTTCCAGTACTTTTTACCCATAACTACAGGTCCTTTTTTTTTTAAACAAAAAACCAAACTATTACCATTAGCCCAGAAATCCTAAGTATAAGAACTCCATGATCTTCATGCAAGATTTCCCTTTGAATGGCTTTGTCCAAAGACGAAGAAGGGGCGAAATACAAACTTTAACTGGTGCATCTAAAACACTATATTTCAGCTAGATTGTACACAGTATTTTCTCCCCCAGTGCTGATTTTCATTCCCATATTTAACTTCGAGGTCTCAAAGACCTAATGCTTATCAAGTGAATACCAGCTTCTCTGAGGTCATGACCCATTTAAACCTCCAATACACATTTCTGACCCATACGTGTTGTGCCTTTGAAATCTGAGGCCCGCTCCAAAACTCAGGATTACAGCAGCAGAATACAGAATTCAAGGAAGGACCAATAACTCCATTTATTACATGTCTGTTAATCATGGCATGAATTCATATCATTTAGGATTCTTTTCTCCGCTGGTGATTCTGGGAGTGCACAATTCACAAGCTCTGGTGTCGTGGTTTAACCCCAGCTGGCTACTGAGCACCACAGAGCCTCTTGCTCACACCCTCCCTGTGGGATGGTGGAGAGAATCGGAAGGGTAAATGTGAGAAAACTCATGGGTTGAGATAAAAGCAGTTTAATAGGTAAAGCAAAAGCCACGCATGCAAGCAAAGCAAACCAAGGAACTCATTCACTACTTCCCATCGGCAAGCAGGTGTTCAGCCATCTCCAGGGAAGCAGGGCTCCATCGCACGTAACAGTTACTTGGGAAGACAAATGCCATCACTCTGAACATCCCCCCCTTTCTTCTTCTTCCCCCAGCTTTGTATGCTGAGCATGACGTCATATGGCATGGAATATCCCTTTGGTCAGTTGGGGTCAGCTGTCCCAGCTGTGTCCCCTCCCAACTTCTTGTGCACCCCCAGCCTGCTCACTGGTGGGGTGGGAAGCAGAGAAGGCCTTGACCCTGTGTGAGCACTGCTCAGCAGTAACTAAAACATCCCTGTATTACCAACACTGTTTCCAGCACAAATTGGAAACATGGCCCCATACTAGCTGCTATGAAGAAAATTAACTCTATTCCAGCCAAAACCAGCACAACTGCTTAACAAGTGGAATAGAGTCTGGAGAGAGAAGGTAGGCTTGGTCTCCTACAGCTGGTTCGCTCTGAGGGACTACTCGGTCCCTCTATGCCCAGGCTAGAACAAGCCAAGCAGAATCAACTTATCTACCCTGTGAAACAAGCATCCATCACCAGAATACAAGATGGCAAACTGGAGAGCATGAGAGGGCATCATTTTGCAAAAGTTGCTAGCCAGTGAGGTCATGACTGGGATGTTCACATCTGTGAACTTCACACTGTGATGACCAAAAGGCCAGCCCCTCTCTAGTCATTAAGAATTTGACTTTCCTTAGCCACAAACGTCTGAATCACTGTGGTGACTCAAAGTGGAGCCTATCCCATCTCAGAGACAGCTCTGACTGAGTCAGGCTGGGATTAGCATGTATCCGTTACTCCTACCAGCTCTCTTCTGCCGAGGCACAGCTGCCACCCTTCCCTGTCCAGACACCCCATGCATACACATGCTCCTAGCGGTTTTTCTGCTCCTTGGGGAACTGGTCTTTTTTCTTTCTTTCCTCCTGGTATCTGACTGTGCTTCCTGTCAGCTGGGTTACCCATTATAAATCCCTGCTGAGTAGACTTACGTGAATAATGGATTTTGTGGCTGAGCGGACAAACTAAAAAGCCGGAGATTAAAAAAAAAAGTCCCTTTTAGGTCAATCCAAAGTGATAACATTTTGGGGAGCTGGCACAAGATTTCAAAAAACAATTGTTCAAGGTTGACCAAAGCATCACATTCAACCAAAAGTCAAAGAAATTATCATTTAAATTTGCGGCTCTTTAACACTTTTCTGAAAGATGTTTTATTTAGGAGTTTGATGTGTTGATTTAATATTGAAATATTTCCTTTATAAAGTATTTGTAAAATAAACAGACAGTTACAGAAGTGTTTTTTCCTTTTGTTTTTGAATAAAACTATTTACCAAATGTATCTAACAAAAATCTGCAAGTCATCATCTTAGAACTGCACTTTTCAGCAAACATTCTTTCCTAAAAAAAGTTTCCATCTAAATCTTCATGTTTCCTTTAGAGTATTTTTCTTTCATAAATCAGTACTGATAGCCAGAAGACACCAGCCAAACAGCTTCAACAAGAATGAGACTCATTAGTTACTGCGAATGGTTGAATAATACCCTATGTGTTCAAGGTCCTATTCATCCTGACTGTCTCTAGAGATTCTATCCTATATCCTCAGGATGCCTATATGCTGAGGATATAGGTCAATTTTCAGATCTGCTCAGAATTTTGACTGCAGTTTTGACTATACATTGCCTTGAAACACAGACCAATGTTACTTAAAATTTGGCATCAAAACAGCAAGATACCTAACATTATTGCATATCTGTCAGGCAGCACAGCAAGCCAATTCCCACCTCGTGTTCTCCAGCTCAGTGGTAGTCCCTAAGAGCTACCCGACTTCTTATAGCAGGTTGCTGCTTGGCTGGTCCCGTCTGGCTTTGCCTTACAGCAAGCCCCGTGGCATAGGTGTGCCTGCCTCTTCCCACAGCAGGCAACAGGGAGTCTTTGGAGAACATCTTCTTCTTGTGTGGACCCTGCAAGTCTCTCTCAGTGCCTCCTGTACTATAGCAGCACTGCTTGGAAGTGCTTGATTCAGGATAGAGGTAATGCAGACAGCAACACCTGAAGCTAAGGTTGCTTGTCACTTCCTGTTTCATTTGCACATGATTTTGCAAAACTCTTCTCTGCAACATCTGACATTTTTGGCGATGTCTGTCCCCTCCACCTCCCAGCAAGTGGGAAAGAGTAGGATGACAGAAATTATTTAACAAAGGACGTATGTTTCTAACACTGAGGAAACAATCCTTCCCATCCCCCCACTCCAGTTGTTTTAAGCAGCTGGTGAATGCTTTCAGCTGAAACTTCACACCTCTGGCACATAAGATTTCAGCCTGAATGGACGGATTTAAATTTGTTGGTGTCATAAACAACTGAAAGTGGATTTAGAGCGGTAAGAAGCAGGCAACCTTAACAACAAGCATAGCTTGCTGTGCCACCTTTTAATAAAATATTATCTGTCATCAAAATTAGCCAACTCTCTTAAAAATTCAGGCTTTGTGGTCTTATTTTTCTGCTCCCCCGCAGTCTGCTCCTAGACTCCAACTGTATCTATGTATAATCTATGGTTGTTTTGCAGAATAGAGTTACTACTCTGTGAATTATAATCCTTTTAAACAAGGTTAGAGATTTCTGCTTGGCCAGCTGCCACTTTCCTCTGCAATTTGTATTTATGACATGATCATGATGGACCTGATATGCCATAGTTGGCATAAGCTGAATCATTATTTGCACTCTGTCAAACTGTGTGAATAATGCTATAGATGCAGAAAAGTTGGTGCTTTACACATGGGCTGAACAATCTGTTTGCACAGGTGTCAGGGAGTGTTGGAGGGACAGAGAGGAGGAAACCACACCCTTATGAGTATGATCACAAGCCCCAGGTGACCAAGAAGACTCTCAGTGATGGACAGTAATGAGGAAAAGAAAGAGAATTAGTAATTTTGGAGGAGGTGCACAGTGGGGAGAAAGAGTAATAGCAGGGATACAATGCAGTGAAAAAATGAAGAAGACGAAGGGGAGGAAACAGCAGAGAAAATGAGAGCAATAAACATGAAATGGGGGAACGAAACATGGACAGGGAA